GGGATTCAGGCTATGATTTGGGGAAGAGGGACGTAGAAAGCGACCATGGCGGTGTTCGCACTTATTGCCCAAATCTGAGACGACAGGCTTGCGATTCTCAGCATTGGCTTTGTTGATGACCTCCATGATAATGGGATGTGGTTGGAGCTCGATGCGAGGAACCTCAACATCATCTTGCAACTCACTGAGGGAGGCAGATACCTCTTGCAGGGCACGGTGCAATGAGCGCACGGCTAGAAGGAGGAGAGATGTAGCAGACACAGAGGTGAGGACAAGCGTGGAGGATCTGAAGTAAGGGATTTTTATTCAGGATTTCAGAGGCTTTAACTCGCGTGGCACGGTGGAAAACGGGTCGCAAGGATGGTGCCACACCACGTACCCGATTTGGCACCGGCTTGCTGTGCCTGTACGATGGCATCGATGTAAGGATTAAAGCCCTGCTGAAGAATTGACTGGAGGTTGGCGTAGGGCTGGTCTAAGCTCAGCCAATGCAACGGGGGGAGCGCACAACATGATTCATATTGAGGCTTGAAAAGGTGATGGGCATGGGTACACAGTGTTGGGAAGGGTCGGCAACGGTTTGTCGAACCAGGAAGGATGGTCACAACACGCAGCTGGCTCATCAAGGACAGCTCAGGGTCCAAAATGCCCGTTGCCTTGAGCAACAACAAGCCGCGATGCTTGGGCGTGAGTGTGCCAGCCTAAAGTACATGTTGTGAGCATTCAATGGAGAAGCGAGGGCCACACAAGGTGAGAACACGCGGAAGACGGTCCTTTGCAGGACACAGAAAAAGGCAACTCAAAGCCAGGCTCATGTACGAGGAAGGTGCCTGCCTCAAAAGAGACACTGGACTTACACCCAGTGCGACATCGACCACAGTTTGAACAGTAATGGCCTGTGCCACATCTATGGTGTGAAGAGGAAGGAATAGACATGCAAGGGCAATAATGAAGTGTAAACCAGCAATCCAATCCCAGAACGGCGAGAGCTGGACATGCAGTCGGACCTTGTTCGTCGTGTTCTTCACGCGAGAGCGCGCTCACGGTAAGCAGCGCTTGCGAGTGATCAGAGCCTTCACAAAATCTGTGGGCCGGACAATCGCAGAGAGAGAGGGGGGCAGGGTAAAATGACGGTCAAGGTCAGGAGGAGTTTTGAAAAACAAAGCTCAAAAAATGATGAAAGAAAAAAAAAAAAAAAAAAAAAAAAAAAAAAAAAACAGCAACTCGTTGGCTTGACACGGATGTGCCCACTGAGCTGGGATTATTCAGCTGGCAGTGCGTACTTGAAAAGATCTTCACTGGCAGAGGCCAGGGCGGGCTGCAGAAGGGCATCATCAATGTCAAGAAGAGCAGGCGCCGTTTGGTGGATAAACTGGCGAAGTTGGTCCACGAGCGCAGTGGCTGCTGCGGGGTTGGCACCAGAGGCACTGGAAGACGGGGCTGGCGAAGGCGAGTCACCGTTCTCGCTCATGATGTCGTTTGAAATACAGCAACAGCGTGATCAGGGGCGCTGGTATTTGATTGGGTTGCCAGATTAGACCCAGCTCGCCATGACCACGCACTTGGGCCTGGCGCGACAGTAGCCGGCCAAGCTGGCCCACGCGCGGCGACCTGAGGCGACCGTTGCAGCCACAAAAACGATAAGTCAGAGGCTCGAGCGCTGCGCGATGGATCAGTAAAGGGCGACCAATTTGGGGCAGCTGCGAGTGTGGTTGCGGATCAAGGGCAGTTTACGCACCGAGCGGTGAGCACGCCGCTCAAGATCGACTATTGGATGTGGCGCCCTGTTGGAGGGAATCTAAGGGAAAGGTCGAGAGATATGCGTGTGAGGGCTGTGAAAAGAGAACGAGTAATCTGGTCCCGGGCAGATGATGGCCAATCAAGCCAAAGCTCCATTTCGTCAACCCACACAGCGAGCAATGCGAGCCCATCAGGAGGGGAAGTGGTAGGAGAAGCCACGGCTCTCGCCACACTGATCCCGAGGCGGTCAGTAGAAGGGCGAAACGGGGGAGAGAGAGAGAGGGAGAGGGCGAGATCAACGAACCAACGGTAAAGGTTGAGGCCCGAACGCGCTACCAAATGGGCAAGGGAAATGACGGATAACAGTTGGTAGCAGCGCTGGGATCAGTGGCAAGCTCTGTGTGTGTGTGTGTGTGTGTTGTTTGTCGTTCAAAGGATTTCAAAGTTGGAGGATATGATTGGTCAAATTAAGAGGGAGCAACGACAATTCCTTTTACACGTTGTGTGAGGCAGTTGTTGTGCTTCTAGTGGGTTCATTCAAACGTAGTAGGAGATAAAGACATAAAGGAAGAACAAGCACACAAACAACAAACAGAGCGCCGAGTCGGCGCCGAGGCATCAAAGCTCGTGTGGCGAGTGCAGACGAGTTATAAGGCCTCTTGAAGTCAATAGAGACAACACGCTGGAAACATGAAAGGCCGCAACTTAGGCGCTTGCGCTGCTTCCGGCTGCGTCAGACGCAGGGGGTTGACTTTGCTGCTGAGCTTGCGCCTGTGCTTGTTGCTGCGCCTGACGCTGCGCAGCCCATGCTATCGCACAAAAAGGAAGAAGATTTTTATGAGCTTGGATCCATGTTTCCTCAAAACAAGGCAAGGTTAGAGAGAAGCACAACCAACCGGCAGCAGCAGCGGCGGCGGCGTTAGCATCGACAGTCGTGGTAGCAGTCGCTGCTTGCGGAGCAGCATAACCCGTGGGTGGCACGCCATAATAGCCCTGAGCGTTATACCAGTCCTTGTATTGCATGTCTACGTAACAAACCAGAGTTTAATGAGACACAACGTGGGCAGGATCAGACGGGATCAGACATACTAGCGCGGAGAGAGTGGAGATTGATATCAAGAACGCCCATGCCACACATGAAAACGTACATTGCTCATGGGTTGGGTAACCTGGTGCCGGAGCACCATACTGCGGTTGTGCTTGGTAGCCATACTGCTGCGGTGGCGGTTGCTGGTAGTGGGACGGGTAGTTTTGTTGTGGCGGCGGATGTTGGTGATACTGTTGCTGTGGGGGTGGCGGTTGCTGTTGGGCGGCAGCAGTGTTCGACGATGCCTCGGAGTGTGCTCCAGGCGCGGCGGTGGCTTGATCAGCAGGCGCTGCACCCTCGGTCGGTGGCCCTCCAGAGCTTGGTGGTGGAGGTGCTCCGCCAGGACCGCCAGGTGGGGGTGGGCCACCAAAGCCGGGGCGGGGCGGGCCCGGATACATGTTGTATCCAGGGTATCCACCTGGACCTGGTGGTGGGCCACCAGGTGGGAAGTAGCCTGGCGGGGGGCCTCCATAGGATGACCTGTGTGGGCCTCCACGAGGTCCACCTGGGCCTGACCTGGCGGGTTGTTGCCGTTCAGCGCACAAGCAAGAGATGAGTTTGATTGAGTGCCGTGCAACTGCCACCATTCTATCAAAAGAAGTGCCGGATTCGAGCGCGCCACCATGATAATATGCTAAACAGGCCACAAGTGCAATGTTCACGTACTCGCGTCGAGCCAGCATGTCACGAATCACCATCTTGCAGTGTTCGATTTGGTCTGGGTTGCCGCGGATGATAAAGATCTTTTCGTTTCCAGCCTCTGAATTGCGATCCAGTTCAAGGTGCACGCCCGTCTGATCCTGAATGGAACGGATAGTCTCACCACCTGATTGGGTTGGCCATGGTAAAGGGAACCACAATGGTGAGCAAAACCAGCGTTTCCAATACGAACACCGAGGCAAGTATAGGGCAGGACGAATCAACGGACGGACCTTTGCCAATGATAAAGCCAGCACGCTCGGCCGGAATGGCGATGGTATCAGTGGGCCGCGAGTCTGCACGTCGGGACGGCGGGCCAGCATCAGGTCGCTCAGCGTCACGGATGATACCAACAATAGCCTGCTCGGCCGCTTCAATTGCGTCCTGATTGCCCGTCAGAGTGGCAATTCGTGCGTCGTTCGGTCCAAGACCCACACCTAGAAAAACAGGTGTGTTCCAAGCAAAGTGAGGGCTTGCGTGGAATAGCTTGACCCGTGCCAAGAGAAAGGGGAGAGGGAAGAATGTTTCAAGAGGGACTGACGACACGCGGTCATCATCGTGGCCCAGCGGCAAAACAGCAAAACGCTGCCAAAGATGCCAGGGCACACCACCGGTGCGCTAATTGACTCAGAAGTTGATATAGCAGCACAATGCGGACTCGACGGCAATACAAATGATACCGACGAGCCGGGCCGACGCCAGTGTTGGAATGCGCCCGAGCCACCCAAGCGAAGAGTTGGTTGGACCACAGATGAAAGATAACGCGATCGTTTCAACCCGTGTGCCTTCCTTCAACCTCGAAATGGCCAGCTCAGATGCCACTGGCGTCCCGCACCGCACTGCATGGAATGAAATGATGTCGAGTGTGTGTGTGTGTGTGTGTGTGTGTGTGTGTGTGTGTGTGTGTGTGTGTGTGTGTGTGTGTGTGTGTGTGTGTGTGTGTGTGTGTGTGTGTGTGTGTGTGTGTGTGTGTGTGTGTGTGTGTGTGTGTGTGTGTGTGTGTGTGTGTGTGTGTGTGTGTGTGTGTGTGTGTGTGTGTGTGTTGGGGGGTGCTGCAGATTGAACTCAACTTGTGGAGGCGCAAAGCGAGACGAGGGATGTCGGTGCACGATTGCTCACCATCAGCTTGATCAAACTGGATGCGGCAGCCCGTGTCCGCCTCGATACGGCGAATGGTCTCACCACCGCGCCCAATCACACGGCCTGCTGCCACGCCAGGTACCTCAATCTACACAAGGGAATTGGCACTGAGTGAGAGCCAAAGGTTTTCACAAGGCCAACAGAGCACCCGTGTGCATGCATACACATATACCTTGAGCCGAAGGTGACGGTTATTCTCATCGTAGCTTGTGGGCATGGGAGGCGCTTCTTGGGGAGCGGAAGGCTTTTCGGCAAGCAGGTCTGCCACCAACTCGCGCGCGCGCTTAATGGCCTCGGCGTCGCCCATCATGTACAATAGCCGCTCAGCAGCGTGAGGGTCTTCCTGGACCATTTTGAGACGCGCACCACTGCGTGTCTGGATCATGTTGATGGTTTCACCGCCGCGACCAATGAGAAAGCCAGCGCGCTCAGCTGGAACCATCATGGTCTCAGTTTCAGCGTTGGCATTTGGGTCAGCACCATCACCATCGGGTGCCGTGCCATAGGCACTCGCCATGAGGGAGGCGGTGGTGGGCCCACTGGCGTTGCCGCCGGGACCGCCGGCGCCTGGTCCAAACGGTTGCATGTGCTCTCGTACAATCTCTTCAATCAGCACCTTGGCTCGTTGAACCGAATCAGGAACACCAGTCAACGTGCAAGGGCGCATAGGCTGACCCAAATCCTGAGCCACCTGGATGCGGCTTCCAGACTGGTTTTGAAGGCGATTGATGGTCTCACCGCCACGACCAATGATGCGCCCCACGTGGGCACCCGGGACGGTCATCTCCACGGTCACAATGCTGCTGGCATCCACGTCCTTCAGCTCCAGTGGCTCGTTCCAGACAACGTGGTGAATGGCGGGAGGTGCAGCCACACCACCAACAGCCATGGCAGAGACGGGTGCCATGCCCATGCCCACGCCCATGCCCACGCCCATGCCCATGCCCATGCCCATGCCAGTGGGAGCGCCATCGACACTCTGTCGCTTGCCCTTGATTTTCTCGGCGATGGCCTTGGCTTTGGCCAAAGCATCGGCAAAGTTCTTCTTTGCCGGTGGCTCACCCGTATCGGCGTCACTCATGGCGCTATTGCCAACAAAGCAAACAGCAACAGAGAGGGTGAGCGGGCTAGCAGCAGCAGAAGAGCACCAAATCGAGCGCGACTCAAGGGCACATGGTCAGATCCGGCATCAACAACCCGGCGTTTAGTCAATGCAGGAGGGGCACAAAGACCCAACAAGCAATGGTGCTGACAAGATTTCCAAGCCCGTTTGATTCGCAGCAGAGGGAGCCTAGCCGCTGCCATGTCTCAAGCTCTCACCTGGTCTTGATCCTCGACACACACAACGCACACAGCACTCACAGGCGCGCAGGCCATTCAAGTGCGTGTCGGTGTCGGTGGTGATGTTGGTGTGTGCGAAAATGCACACTTGCACTCATGACCGCTCTCGTCTGAGGCATCTCACTATCAAACTAAGCTAATAAACGCTCTGCAAACCAATACACATTTTCCTGTCACGGCGCACGGGGTTTTTCTGGCCGTTACAAGAGACAGTGGAGATTGTCTGACATCACATAAATGTATCGAAGAACAGCTGTTCTCATCACCTGTTGAGCGCGTTTCCGGTGGTGTCGTTGCCGCGTTACGTTTACATTTTTTCCGCGCCAACTCGAGAGTGAGAGAGAAGAGAGTGAGAGAGAGAAGAGAGAGCATGGACGGCAGCGTCGACTGACTGACTGACTGTGTTGCTCGCTGCTACGTAGCCTTTTTTTTTTTTTTTTGGCAGGTGCTTGGCGTGTTGGCTCGATATGGCAGACCAAGAGATGGCTCACCGGTCATCGGGGCCAGCGGATGCCGGGTCCTTGGCACAACAACTAGTGCAGCCTTTGGCAGCGATGCATATTGACAATGCAAATGCGTGCTCGAACGCGACGTCAACTGTCAGCGAGCCGACGACCCAGCAACGGCAGATGCTGTACTCTCATCAGGAGCAGCTGCAGCAGCTGCATTTGCACGAAAGGGTGCACCCTGCGTTTAATGGGACCCCGGCCGCCAATGAGGCGGGATCAAGTTTAGCTCCTGCGTCAGCCATGTCAACGACCAATGCCGCCTCCTTTGACCTCAGCGCGCTCAGTCAGGAAGCCTCGCGGCTCTATCATGCGCCCGCGGCTCCGGCAATCCCTTGCCGCCAAGAAGTGCACGGGTAAGGTGTTGGCTCGCCGTGTTCCTATTTTGGTGTTTTTTTGGTGTGCCGCGCGTGTTTGGAACGGGCGTTCGAGCGACCGAGGTGTTGGCGTGCTGGGCGGGCACTCTGCGGCTGTATTTGGTCGCGGCTGACCCCTTGTGTGTCTTGGATTTCATCGCTCTGATTAGAACTCTGTGGTCGGACACGGGTATGAATATTACGGGAGACGGCTCTGTCGAGGAAGAACTGGCATCTTTGATTCAGCATACCACCCTCCAGCAACCCCCGCACGCCTTTTCCTATCTGAGCTGAGACTGAGTGGGGCACTGAAGCCGTGGATCAGCAGTCACAAACAGCTGCCCATGCTCACAGCCCTGCGGGCTTTTCCTCCCACTGGACCGGCTGTGCCGGACTTGCGTTTATAATTTTGACGCGCGAGAATTGAAACACTCAAGTCAACATGAAGCATCATGTCGGCAAATGGCCGGCTTTTGCCATTGTTGCTCTGTCCAATCTACATACCATTGCGCCCCGCCTATCACCCAGCTGAACCTTTGATGAATCTCTCTCTCTTCCACCTTCCAAATCTGCCACTGAGTCAGCCATGCGAAACAAATTGTGCCGTGTCAGCACCGTTTCTCTCTCTCTCTCTCTCTCTCTCTGTCTCTCTCTCTCTCTCTCTCTCTCTGTCTCTCTCTCTCTCTCTCTCTCTCTGTCTCTCTCTCTCTCTCTCTCTCTCTCTCTCTGTCTCTGTCTCTCTCTGTCTCTCTCTGTCTCTCTCTCTCTCTCTCTCTCTGTCTCTCTCTCTCTCTCTCTCTCTCTCTCTCTGTCTCTGTCTCTCTCTCTCTCTCTCTCTCTCTCTCTGTCTCTGTCTCTCTCTGTCTCTCTCTGTCTCTCTCTCTCTCTCTCTCTCTGTCTCTCTCTCTCTCTCTCTCTCTCTCTCTGTCTCTGTCTCTCTCTGTCTCTCTCTGTCTCTCTCTGTCTCTGTCTCTCTCTCTCTCTCTCTCTCTCTCTCTCTCTGTCTCTGTCTCTCTCTCTCTCTCTCTCTCTCTCTCTCTCTCTCTCTCTCTCTCTCTCTCTCTCTCTCTCTCTCTCTCTTCTCTCTCTCTCTCTCTCATTTCTCTCTCTCTCTCTCTCTCTCTCGTCTCTGTCTCTCTCTCTCTGTGCAGCTTTGAGGTTGTGCCTTTTTGGCAGCGCCAAGGGCTCGAAGCTGGCTTAGTTTTAGAGGCCTCGTGGCATTGGGAGGAGAGAACCCTTGTCATCTCAACGCGCACGTTTGAGGGGCGCGCGTGAGGAGGTGCGTGCCGGGAGCGTGGTGTGTCGTGGCTGTTTCACACAGAAGCCGACTCGAGGTGCCGCCTGGTGTTGGTGCTGGCACGGGGGCTGCCGTGGGTAGACCGCGGCCATGGCCGTGTGGACCGAGGCGCGCCGTCGGCCCATCTTGGCTGCCTTTATGCTACTGGCCCTAGTCTTTGTCGTTTTTCGCAGCGTGGGCCACTACAACAAGGTGGTCAAGCGCCGTGAAGCCCGCGAGCTCCGCAAGAGCTGGCATGAAGAGCAACCCACCATCACCGTCCCTGACCCCTTGCCCGAGTGTCCACAACTCATCCCTGGCTACAACGTTTCCAAGACGCGCACGGGGCCCAAGGTCCTTATGAGCTCGGGCGCCTATAACAACGTTGTGGACGGCGTCTCTAAAACGCTCAATCGACTCGTGGCCGACCTGCAAGCCCGCAACTTTCAGGTCGTCATCATTGCACCCGTGGGCGAGAAACCGGCCATGCCCCATTATGGTCTCTTATACCCAGCCCCCAGTGTCACCGTGCCCTTTCGTCCTGAATACCGCCTCGCCCTTGGCTTGGATCGGTGCACACGCGAGTTCTTTGAGGCCTACGATCCCGATATCGTGCACGTGGCCAGCCCCGACTACCTGGGGCAGCAGGTGCAAATGTGGGCCAATGAGCAGGGCTTGCCCGTGGTGTGCTCCTACCATACCCGCTTCAATTCCTACCTGCCCTATTACCTGGGCAGTTTTGTCGCCCCCGTCGACTCTGCCGTCTGGGCTTGGATGCGCTATTTTTACAACCGGTGCCACCACACCTACCCGCCCACCCCCTCCGTCTCCCAGGAACTCCGCCGTCACGGCGTCACCTCCGAGTTGCGTATTTGGCCCCGCGGTATTGACCTCACTCTGTTCAACCCCAATCGCCGCTCCGAGGCCCTTCGAACCGCATGGGGCGCCGACAGCAACACCGTCGTCCTCCTCACCGTCTGTCGCCTTGTGTGGGAGAAGAACTTGCGGGAAATCATCGAGACCATCAAGTTGCTCTCCAACCAGGGTGAACACTTTTTGGCAGTGGTCGTGGGCGAGGGACCTGCCCGCGCCCGCATGCAGGAAGAGCTTCCCAACGTCGTCTTTTCCGGGTTCCTGGGTGGTGTCAACCTTTCCACGGCCTTTGCCAGCGCCGACCTCTTCTTCTTTCCCTCTCTCACCGAAACCTGGGGCGCCGTCACCCTGGAGGCCATGGCTTCTGGCCTCCCAGTCATTGTTGCTGACGCGCCCGGGAGCAAGGAACTCGTCACTAACGACCACACGGGCTTCCTCATCACACCCGGCCGGCCCCAGCGCTGGGCCAATGCCGTGGTACGCCTCCTTCATTCCCCAGATTTGCGTGCTCGCCTCGCTGCCAATGCGCTACAAAAGGTGTCCCAAACCCAATCCTACACTTGGGAACGTGCCACCAACATGGTACTGAGCCACTACTCAGATCTGCTCTCCACTACCAAACGCTACCAGGATCTCTTTGAGGTGCCGGGCGCCTATGACGGTAACAGCATGGCCAATGACACGTCTCTCGTGGGTGGTGACGACTATGCTGCGGCCGACGCACTGCTTGACGCTGCCGGACATGCATCAGAAGAAGGCCGTTCCGTCGTCGAGAGCCCCGAGGCAGACGAAACGCAGGGTGTCTAGCGCTCCCTGCACACCGGCTTGCTTGCGCCTGTGCTGGTTTCTCAGCTTGTGCCTTTCTTCGCACCATCCGCGTCCGTGTGCAAGCCCGCACTCTTTTGGTTCTGGCCTCTTGACGATTGGCTTTGAACCCTTTGTTTCGTGCTCTGTTTTCCTCTGCTGCCGCCCTTTGTTCTTCATGGTCGTAGGTTTGTAAACGAACTAAGTCTCGCCTCTTTGCTCTGATTGTTTGGAAAACGGGATTCATCCCAGTCTGAGCCGCTCCCCTCCGGCCCCTTCCCTTGCCTCATCGAAGGTTGCCTTGTGTATCCTGTCCGTATTTCCCCCCGTCTTATTTGACCTTGCTCCCCACCGTCTGTGTCGAGTCAGCTGCTGTGAGTCTGGCTTTCCCCTTGCCCATCCTCTTTCAAATCGAATTCGGATCTTTTCATTTGTTTGACGTACGGCCGCCGACTTGGGCGCACCGATATGCAGAGAGCTGGTAGGAAGAATTCATATGACAACGTCGCATAATGTCAGCAAAAATTATCTCTTTGACAACGAAAGAGCTTTTTGCTGTTCTTGTTGTTGAAAGAGGACAACAACCCTTGATACAACAGAAACTATGCAAATTGGTGCACAAACTTACTCTTTGTACATTAATGAAACGTCAAAAACACCAAATATTGTTGAAAAGCAGCGATAACCCAAATTTCACTTTTTCGATCTCTCTCTCTCACTCTCGGCACGTTGACGACCTCTGCGGCCGGACGAGCCCTGGTGACTTGCTTGGTCAAAGGCGTGCAAGTGTGCGGCAGTGGCAGACAAAGTTGGCAAAGGAGCAGGCACGTGTGACTGCGACATGGACATGTGTCAATGATGATGATTACCTGCAGCCTGGTTGCCCCGTGCCCTTTTGCATTGCTTCGGCACCAGCGCGAAGAATGCACCGCCCCACTTCGGATTTCGCAGACACGATGGGTGACCCCCCGCGCTGGCCCTCATTGACGCAGCATCCACAGCGCATAAGCGACGCGCCTGTTGTATTCGAAGAGGAGTCTGTGATTAAGACGGGTAGCCATGGCAGTGCGCACGCCCCGGGGACAGCTTTCGGCAAGTCCAAGCCCACCACCATGCAAGCCTCCCGACGACCTGGCAGGCGGAGCCACGATACCGTCCTCCCAGACGTCTTTGTCGGTCGTATCAAAGAGGGCAGCTTTTCCAAACGCACATATTCAGAAGGATCGCGGCCTCCACCCCATCATCCTGCCAACTGGGATCGAGGGACGGCGCAGCTCCCGGCATCAACCAGCGCAGACGTGCGCCACATTGACACGAAGGATACCCTGCCGCGCCCTTCTCGCCTGGCAGCACACGCACCCCTGGCCCGCCATCCCCCAACGAGCTCACGCCCGGTGGACCTCGACCTGTCCGCCGTTGATTCAAACATCGGCCTCACCTCCACACCTGCCGTCGCTCGCCCCGGTTTGCACTCCCGACCGGTTGGCCCCGACCCCATCACACCCCATCCACCGGTCACGCCCATCGTGCGTGACAGTGACCGCCGTCGCCCGCGTCGGGCTAGCCACACTGGTCACATTGTGCAGCCCTCGCATCTGGACAACGAAGCCCGAAACAATTTAAACGCACAAATCCTGGCAGACCGTCTTGTTGACGGACCTGTTGTCGTGCAGCCACCGCGCGCAGCTCCGTCCCCGCCTCCCACCCGCCATCACGATCCCCTCGACACCACCTACGAACTGATGCGACCACCTCGCTTTGACATGCGTGTGGACTCGGATTCGCCGGATCACGAGGCTTCTTTGTTCCACGCTCAGGCTCGCAACGCATCACCTTCTCCTTCACCACGTGATGTGCCGCCCGTCACCAATGGCTCCAATTACCGTGACCTCCTCAATGCCAACAACGCCAATGGATATGGCAACGAGGGAGATGATGGTGCTAGCAACAACAACAAGGAGACGGCCGAGAATGATGACGAGAGCAGCGACGGGGATCAGAACGATACTCTGCAGCTGATCAACGGCCGGGTCCTCTTTGGGGATATGCCTGCCCGCCCTTCCATGGGGGACGTAGCTGAAGCTGTCCTTCACCGCATGTCGCGTCACTCAGGTGCTTTCACGAGTGCTGAAGACCCAGATGTGACGATTCAGCCCCGCCAGAGCCTGCAACTGGATCAAGCGGCCGAGCAACACGCCGACCAGTCTTTATCAGCACACGACGCAGCCATCAGTCGCCACGCGCATGAGCCAGACGGGCGCTCGCCTGCACATGCTCACAACGAACAACACGCAACGCAAGGCAGCGACGCCACGGCACCGCACACTCCACGTACACCGCGCTTCAGTCACAAAGATGATATTGATACTCCTGAGCGCACCCCGGCGCGGCTGCTGCACGCGCACAGCTCAGGCCACCTGCAGCCCCACCCACCCAGCGCCACCACGCCTCGGATGCGTCGAACCCTCTCTCAGAGCACGGCACAATGGGATCGCGTGCGCAACGCCATCATTCACACGCCTAGTGCGCGTCGGTTTCGGCGCCCTGTTCCCAAGAGTGGCGTGCCCCATGCCGACAAGCCGAGTTGCCCGCCCATGGGCATTCGACTCTACGTCGCGACCTGGAACCTCAACGAGCATTCTGGTGCCAAAGACGTCGAGCGCCTCCTTTTTCCAAACGGCCAGCCGGATGAGGACGATGAGGAGATTGATGTTTACGTCATCGGCTTGCAAGAAGCGCCTCTCGAGAACCTCGAGCTCGAGCTTTGCATTCAGCAAGCCCTGGGCCCAGCCTATACCAAAATTTGCGGCGCCTACTCGGGCCCCATTCAAATGGTTATTTTCTCGCGAATGGAGCTCAACTGGTTCATCACGCAGGTGGAGACGGACAAAGTTGCGACCAAATTGGGCGGCATGATGCGCACCAAAGGCGGCGTTGGCATTTCCCTCATGCTGAGCCAGCGCCTACGCTTGCTGTTTGTGTGTGCGCACTTGGCTGCGCACCAGGATCGGGTCAAGGAGCGCAATGAAAACGCTTGGGCCATACGCCGCGGCCTCAAGCTACCTGAGCGCCGCCTGCGCCAGCCTGAAAATCTCAATGGCACGGCTATGAGTCTCAATACAAGCGCTCGCCTTTCGCATGATGTGGCCCGGTACCACGACATCATTTTCTGGCTCGGCGACCTCAATTACCGCATCAACTGCAGCCGTGATCTGGTGGAATACGTCTTGGCCCACAATGATATGGACCATCTCCTTGCCCGCGACCAGCTCAACGTGCAGCGGGCCGCAGGCGATTGCTTCTCAGACTTTGAGGAGGCACCCATCACGTTTCTGCCAACCTTTAAGGTGTGCTTTCCCGTTGGCCGCCCGTCCCTTTGTGTTTTTTTATTTTTTTTTTATTTTTTATTTTTTTTTTCAAAGGCTCCTGCCTCTTTGGTTTCCACAACTTATCGTGTGCCTCTTGCCAATCATGCAACCCCTGCAGTATGATGTGGGCACAAACAACTTTGACACGTCTGCTAAGCAACGTATACCGGCCTGGTGTGATCGCGTACTGTGGCAATGTGCCGAGGGCATTGGGGCCGAGGTCACCTGTGAAGCATACAACTCTATCCCCGCCATTTGCTCATCTGACCACAAGTAAGTTGTTTTGACAATTTGCACACCAAGGACACCCACGCCCACCTCGTCCCCTAAACCATCGTGTCCCGTGCTTTTTAGGCCTGTTTTTGCGCAATTTGAGCTCAGCATGTCGGCCACCTTGAATAATGAAGCCGAGCAAGAGGCCGAGCAACCAAGTGCGGGCGTGGCTGCCCACGACTATGACTGGCACTTGTACTCCAAAGCCTTCCGAGAAGGACTCAAAGAAACACTCAGAATGGAGGAACTCGAAACGGCCAGCGTTCAGGAGGAATTACGTCGCCAGTCTCATGACAATGTATCATATGATGCCGAAAGTCTCAGCACGACCGCCGATGCCGACGTGTTTGCTCCGCCCCATGAAGCCGAGGCAAAACTTGGAGTGCCTGCGTCCTTGCCGGACGCACCTTCGCCCTCTTCCACCGAGCGCCTGCCCAGCGCCTCGACTTTGACAGAGCCATCAGACACAGTCGCAGTGGTGCCTCAAGAACAGGCCCCGATACCCAAGCTCAAGCCACCCACGCCCAAGCCGACTGCGCCTCAGCCGCGCCAACCGCGCAGTGTGTTATGTGCTGTCATGTAAAGGCCCAACTGTGATTTGGGTTTTTTGTTTGTTTTTTTGCTTTTTTCTTGCGAGGCCCAGATTTATTTTGAGCAAGATGTAATGTTGCTTTGAGTCAATGCTTTTCCCCGCGTCTTCCTCTGTGCAGCTGCGCTGCAAGTATTTTATCCTTGGCCAACAGGCCCAATCGAGTCGGATCTGATCCAATTACTATTATTACCAGGAACCAATTTCCTGCTTTTACACCCCCGATTTCCAAAGCCGCGCTGCATTGGCAGATGTGACGGCTCGCACGGTGTCCTCATTCACGCCGTGCAAGCGAGCCAGTTCAGCCACGGCAAAGCTGATGTTGCTCGGCGTATTGTAACCGCCCTTGTCTGGAGCCAACGCAGGGCTGTCCGTTTCCAGGACCAGAGCAGAAAGTGGAACTCGCCGCACCAATTTTTGGAAGCTTGGCGAGCGGGCTGTGCAGGCGGGTGCGGTCAGAAGCTGGCCGCGCGCAGCCGCGAGTTCTGCATACTTGGCCTTGCCATCAAACGCGTGCAGCAGCGCCCGGACCTCCTGCAGCACGGCAAGGCAAGCAGAACTAACTTCAGATTTCAGGTCAAGACATCTTGGGAAAGAGACAAACGCGGAGGTGCGTGCCCCAACAGACCGAAAATTCCGTTGCAAGAAGCTCCAAGACATGATGGCCAGCGCTGCATGAATGCACGTTTATGGGCAAGCCCAGCTCGCGAGCCAACGCCACCTGGAAAGATGCAGGCGGCCACAGGCTTGAATTGTAACGTCGGATCTTGGCTCTGTATGCAGGAGAAGCGAGGCCGGCTCACCTGTGCCTGAAAAGCGCGACGTTGCCGGACTTTGATGACATCACCCTCGGCACCATCATCGGCACTGCACAAGGTCTTTGGCATGAAATCCAATCCGATCTCACCCACGCCGGCTAGCTGTTGCGAGCCGGGCGCGGCGCATGGGAAAACAAAAAGTAGTCTTAGAACATGGCGCTCGGCGCTTGGCCCGGGCTCGACCCCAGCACGCCAGTCGGGGTGTGATCCAAGCACGAAACGTACCAAATGGGCATTGTCTCGAATTTGCTGCAACACACGTGCAGTTTCCGTTCCACTCTGGGCATGCACGGCATCCCAAGGATGTAAGCCCAGGCAAATCTGCAAGGCCAGCAGGCGTCAAGTGCAGTATATAAGATTGTGCCTACGTTGCCAACAGTGTCATTTCACACGCCCTTGGGATTTCCGGCTCGTACTCAGGCACCAGCATACCAGGAGCTTGGGCACATTTGCAGCTTGACGACGCGCATGCTCTGCGCGATAGGCAAGCAAACGCTCCCCATCCTCGAAATTGGTGGCCACAGCCACCACATGCGTGACACCCCGGTCAAACGCGGTCTCCAATTCATGCCACCAATCCCGCAGCCCCGTCAAATGGACATGATTGTCCCACATCCTGATTGTCGCCAGTTTTTCTTGTGAACGTTACAAAAAATTGTGGCAATCAAGTGCTACATTGTGTGTACCACAGTCTAGATTGTCACAAGAAGTCTGTGTGTGTGTGTGTGTGTGTGTGTGTGTGTGTGTGTGTGTGTGTGTGTGTGTGTGTGTGTGTGTGTGTGTGTGTGTGTGTGTGTGTGTGTGTGTGTGTGTGTGTATCTGCCTGTGTCTGTGTCTGCCTGTGTGCCTGTGTGTGTCTGTGTCTGTGTCTGTGTCTGTGTGTCTGTGTGCCTGTGTGTCTGTGTGTCTGGGTCTGTGTCTGGGTCTGTGCCTGTGTGTCTGTCTGCCAAGGCCATCAACAGCTTGCACATCGATTTGGTTGGGAATATGTGAAATGACCCACTGGGCCTGGCAGGTAGCTGGCTGTCTGCGCGGTTGTCTTGGAACGAGAAAAAAATCGGAAGAACGCTTTTGGACATACACGTTTAAAGCTGAGATGTGGCGGCTTTTCTGGCCTAAGAAAGCGTGGGCAGCGTCAACCCCGCTCTTTGGGCTATTTTCAGGGCAGCCAAATGGACGGCCAGGTCGTCCGAGCTGAGCGCAAGTGCATTGGTATACATTTGGAAAGCAGGTTCCAAGGCAGAGACAGCCTCCATGCTCCTACATGTTGCCAGCCGATTGTGGAAGGCGGGGCAGATCGTCAGCGTTGACACAGCACCCGAGTATTTGCTTCTCAAGGACAGGGGAGCAGGACAGGTTTTTCAACACGCACCGAGCAGCTGTCAAAAACGCGTCATATTGCGACTTCTCGGCTGTAGACAGACTGCACCGGCAACGCTGAACTCGAATGCCCTGCACAACGCAAACCACACTCCTTGATGAGCCGACTGCGGAAAAAAAAAATCCAAGCGACAGCAAGGCGTCGAGTCACAACTCACCTGCAGTTTGTGCTGCGCACAGACGTTTGTGTCGACACAATTGGCACTGCTCAAGACCACGTTCTCCTTGACCTCCTCGTGGCTGCGCCCAGCAGGCTGCTGCTCCTGGCCTGCCTGCTTGGGTAAATCTGGTGTATATGCTCGCTCAAATTCGCCTTTGGGTGAGGCCGTGGCTGCACGCTCAAAACTGGTATTGAACTGCTTTAAAGGCGAAGCATGGCAGGAGACGAAGGAATCTTCGTCGTCCCCTGACACAAAGATCGAGTTGGTGTGAAGCTTGGAACCAGCGCTGCTCAAGGGTGTGGCCTCCTTCATCTGCACGGGCAATGTCGGTTCCGGGGACTCAAAGGGTGTCACGATGGCCATATCATAATCAATGGATGCTTCCAGACTCTGTGGCCAGTCAGGACCACCAGCGCCTAGATTCTGCATGCCATTCGACACGCCATTTGGTGACTTTGACTGGCAGCTGGAGACCATGCTATTGTCATTTGCGACGTCATTGGTGCTGGCAATACTGTGGTCATTGCGCACACTCGCGTCAGCGCCACCATCATCATGCTCATCATTGTCGTCGTCATCGTCAGAATCGAGCAGCATTTGTCCACGATGGGGTCGCGGTCCCCGAGCCACAGGCATATCGTCCTCATCCTCATCCTCATTCTCATCTTCATCCTCAACTTTATCCTCAACGTACTCATCCGCGCGCTCAATACTCCGCGCACCAGTGCCAGATGTCATCTGCACGCCGGCCAGGGCATCAGCCAAGTCATTGATGGGCGACGCCGGCCCGGAGGCTGCTGATGCTTCGTCATCCGAGTCACGTTCGTGACCTGGAGGATGCTTCACTTCACGTCGCGGTTGCGGGCGACCACCTCGAACGGCAGGCGTTGGTCCAATGGGCATCACAGAGTCGCTTGAGTCTTGTTCGTCCGCAGAAGCATACTCTGTACTGCTGGCTTCCGACTCATTGTCTGAAACCTCGTCATCCACTCGTGCTTGCTCCAAAAATACACTGTCGTGTGACGAGTGACCGGCCACGTGCTGCATTGATGCCAATTCAGCCAGGTGCGCAGCCAGGGCAGGGTGGTAGCCAATCTGCAAAATGTGAGAACAGAGATCAGACTCGTCAGCAGCTCGATTCAACGATCCAACATTCACGCAGGGGCGCCAGGCACTGCGCCCATGTGACGTCGAGGGCCATCCGGCCAATGCTAACCTCGTGATGGTGGCGTGCAAGTTGGCGCTGAGTAGTTGAATGCTCTGTATCATCCAAAACAAAAAGGTTGCGCAGTTCCTGAGACCAAAGAAGCAGAGGTCTGTTAGAGTGCAAATTGTCGCTTTGTATTCTGCGCACAGCAGCAGATTGTGAAGCCCACCTCTTTGGAAAAGTATCGGAATTGGGTGCCACTGTTGGTCATGGCGCTGCGTTGCAAGCTCCCCTTGAAGATCTAAGAGGGCAACAAGATGCAGCATCAATGATCGGTGAACTGAGAGCAAACGCGGGTGCATGTCACCCCGCAATCAGACCTGCTTGCGATACATCTTCTCCTCGATGGTGCCACACGTGACGAGACGGTACACCAGGACCTCTCGAGTCTGCCCAATACGGTAGCTAAGGGTGACATGATGCGCACAGGGGTTACGACCAGGCAAGACTAGATGTTGGTCATATCAGAGCAGACGTGCAGCATCAAAGCCAAAAGCTTGCCACTTACGCACGATCCACGGCTTGTGCGTCCACAGACGGATTCCACGAGGGATCGCAGATAATCACACGGTTGGCACCGGTGAGCGTGAGCCCGACACCCCCGACTTGGGTTGTCAAAAGCATGGCAAACAGCTCGTCTGTCGTGGCCTTGTTAAACTTGTCGACAAGAGCTTGGCGTTCGTCTGCAGTTTTGACTGAGCCATCCAGCTGCTGAAAAGTCAATCCGTGGTGGTCCAGCACCGATGCCACAGCCTGCAAAAACTTGCGTGACTGGCTGAAGATGAGCACGCGATGGCCACCGCGTCGCAAACGAGGTAGTAAATCGTTAAGACAGGCTAATTTGCCCGAGTGCTCAAGATTATCACCGAGCGACAGAGATGGGTTCATGATGGCAGCCACGAGGCGCTCATCCGAGAGATTCTTATAGTCATCCTCTGATTTTGCAAGAAGGGATGTCGTCTACACCAGTCGATGGCATTGAGTGCGACAAGAGCACAGGTCGGTTGATGAACAAGACGATCCACCCTTGTGTCTCGTGTGTGTATGAGCGTGTGACCGTGATGGAAAGAAAATCAAGTACACAAGCCTCCTTCAACTGTGGCTGTCAAACCTACGTCGTGCCATTCGTCCTCGTCGCTGTCGTCAAGAGCGCTGTTCTCGCCACTTCCGTCCTGAATGCCGAGCAACGCCTGGCGATACGCCACCTGATTGGTCAAAAGCTGGGGGTGGTCACAAATCTTTTTGACAAAGAGATGAGATGGCAACCAAAGCACCGATTGATGTCAGGAAACGTGAACGGAGGTAGAGCTATATTCCAGGTACACATGCGTACAGAAGCAGCACATTGGGGATACCTTTTTGAGCACGGTCAAAGCGGCAAGCGGGGACCGCGTCGTGTTGAGCAAAGCCTTGACTTTGTCCGATTCAAGGAAGTTGCGATAGATGTGGACCTGCAACTCGCTCAAGCTGACCCAAACGATAAGCTCGTGCTTTGGTGGAAGTTGGTCCAGGCGCTGCGATTTGGACTGTGTATGAGCGGCAGCTTGATTCGCAAGTGGGCCTGGAGTGGTCCCATCTTGCATGTCCACTGGACATTCGTCTGCGAGCGTTTCGAGGATATGCGCCTGGCCCTCTTCACCATTAGCAGACACGGACGGAGCCGGGGCGCTGTCAGCAGCACCGGGCCGGGCTTTTTCCCGGCGTAAAAAGTAGGGACGAATGCTCTCGCGGAGCGCTGCTGCAACCTATTCCACCCACAGGACCACACAGAACAGGGCATTGATGGCGACGATGGTTGACTCGAGCAGATGACAAGACCCAAGTCGTTCTGGTCTAGTGCGATGATGCGAGGGCATTAGAAAACGGGTTTTTGGCGGCGCACCTTGGCCCCACGCTCGCGTTCGTCATCGCTGGCACAACGCGCAGCCGCCTGAGTAATTGGATTCTCAAACTGGTACCGTTGCGACAATGGGAAAGGGCTAGCCTGAGATGATGGCAGATGACGTTTCCAAATGTACGAGCTCTCGTGCACTTACTTGCTCAGCAAATGCGGCCTTGGTGCCAAATAGCTCGCCATTGGTGACAAAGTCAAACAGAGCCCACAGCTCACCGAGAGAGTTTTGCATCGGTGTTCCTAGGATGGGCGTGTGGTAGCAAACCTCGAATATGACCACTTTCGATTGTATGCATGACTCAAGGCATGTTGCCGAGACCAGTCTGAGACACCCACCGCTGAGAATCAGCCGTTGATGCGTCTGAATCGTTCGAATAGCCTTGCTTACTTCGCGACTGGGATTTTTGATTTTGTGACCTGCACGGTCAGAGAATGAGCATGACAGGATGGTGCAGGCTCAACCTCGTACAGACTCAAAATTGTGAACATGGTTGTAGGATGTGACGACAAAAGTGGGGTTTCATAAACAAACGGGAATATCACAAACCTTCATCAAGAATGACGCAGTCCCAACTGTGTTCGCCCTTGTCATTCAAGGCATCGGCGTTGGTGATGACCAGACCGTAAGTCGTCAGGATGATGCCGCCGTCTCGCTGAATGGACTTTAGAGCCTTGGTGCGCTTGCCCAGTGGTCCGTAGTATTGCTAAAAATGACCAGAACACGTTTCAAGACCAAAGAAAAGTAGATTGGCATGAGTTGGATCAAGCCCTTGCGGCACAATCCCCCCACGGCTGGGTCCGAGAGCGCCACGCACCTGGACCGGCACGTCAGGCGCCCAACGTGCGAGCTCGCGTTCCCATCCCGCCAAGAGAGAGACAGGAAGCACAATCAGAATGGATACGGCGAGCTCCGAATCAAAAAGGCCGCGTAGGTATGAGGCCACTTGAACCGTCTTGCCCAGGCCCTGATGAGAGACGAGCGCGCAAGGGCCGCGTTAAACTTGGCATGCCTGTACTCGGGTCGCCCCTGATGAACCGCGATTCTGAGGGAACAAAGGAACGGCAACCTACCATGTCATCACCCAGGATGCCACCGCATTTTCTTCTGTAGAGGGACCAGAGCCAGCGGACGCCCTCGCGTTGGTGCGGAAAGAGGCCATCGTAGAGCTGACTGGGAAGACGAAAGCGATGGTTCAACCAGCACACGCCATTGTCGTCGTCCCGCACATATCCAGTCGAAAGCTCGACGCGACGAGCCAAACGAGCTTCGAGGCGCTCAATCTTGGCTGCAAGCGGGTCGGTGGCGAGCAAATCCTGGGCCTGCTGGTAGGCCTTGATGGCTTCGGCATACAGCAGGGCAGCCTCGCGATCCCGCGCACGCAAAATGAGCTTGTTATAACGCTTTCGCTCCTCTTTGTTCAGGGCCGGCGCTGGGCTGGTCTCTGCCATGATGAAGGTAGTGGCCTGACCCCTTCCCCCAGCAGTATTTGCACAGCCAGCTGGCTGGATCCACCCTTGCTACTGCGACGTTGAGCTGGGAGAAAACAACCCTCCCAGAATCGGAATCAGATCGGAAAAAAATAAAAAATAAAATTTGAGAGAGAGAAATGAAAAAAAAAAAAAAAAAGTGTTTGCTTGATCGTCAGGATTTGAATATTGCTTTTTGTAAAGTTTCAGAAATATATATACCAGCTTGAGTTTGCCTGACACTAACGTGACAACGACTTGAATTGTCAGCAAAACAAAAAACACAACAAGAATTGTCAGAAAAATGAAATTCAAAGCCAGTAATGCTATCGCGCACATCTCTGGCATCAAGCACACCAAATCCCTCTACCTCTACTTTTACCTTCATTTTCCAATGTTTGCACACCCCCGACTTTGCTCCATCTCTGGTTCAACCTCCACAGAAAGGTGCCTCTCTGCCAGCTCAACCCCGACGGCGCCAATTGAGGGGCTGACTGACCTCGCGTGCATGGACTGTACCAGGGTGGCTAAGGAAGACGGGGAGCGGCGGTACACTTGACAGGATGGCTTCCACGTCGGCATCGGGGGTACATCGGTACATGGCCTCGCTCTGGACGACTGCGGCGACTCGGCGCCATGGGCAGACACAGAGCTCCAGCGCTGACATTGGCGACGCCGAGGCCGCACATGCTCATATGTCGCTGCCCGCAGATTCAGCTTCCCTTGTGAGTCCGCGCCAACACACATTTGAAAGCGAACTTGCACGCCTGCAGGGTGATATTGCTGCGTCCCGCCAGCGCGTTCAGGCCGGAGCACAACCCGTCATTTCTCGTCGCCCCGAGATCAGGATGGAAGACCGCTCTAGCTTGGCCGTTTCACCTGCAAGCAGCCGAGTTTTCCCGCCCCCACCTCGCCCACAGGAGCATGGGACTTTTCAAAGCAGTTCAAAGGCTTGCAAAGCGAATTTTGAGACCCAGGCTGCGCCCGAAGCGCTTAGCTTTATCGCAGATGAGCTGGAGCGGGAGCGTCTGGAGCTTGTGCGCGCGCGCCAGCGCTTGCAGACCACACTGAGCCATCAGCCAACCGCAGCATCAGTAGAGAGGCGACAGCTTGGCAGCTCTGCCCCGCGAACACAAGCCCCGCTGCCCACAGACGCACCCCGTCGCCCTCTGCTCAGTCGAACCAGTCGGACAGGTCGTGAGCAGCCCGACCCTCTGCTCGCCAGCAGCCTAACTTCAACAACGACCAGTTGGCGGCACCGTTCTACTAGTAGCCGCGTGGCGTGGAAAGAGCCAATCACAGAGTCTGCCCCCTCACTACGAGGCACTCCGTCGCCGCGTCCAACAAGTGCCCAGACGCATGGCGACGCGTGCACAAAGGCAGTGTCCTCAAACGCCTTGAGTGCGCACAACTCTGTCCGCTTCTCCGCCATTGGCCTGCGTGACTCCTCCGAAGCCGTTCCCGTTGATGAAGAGCTCATTGACGAGGAAGTACCTGTTGCCTCGATGCATGCGTCCTCATCTTCACCTCGTCAAAGTGTGGGCGCAAGACCCCCTTCGTCGTCGTCCGTTGGCATCACCCACGCCGTCAGCGATGACACAAGTCTGTTGTCGGCATCAACATCGCAAGCCCTGCCCGTGCCTTCCCCTGCTGTTCCTGCCAAAGCGACAACACCAGCGACTGTTGACACCGCGTCAGTGAAGCCCCGTGCTTCAACCTCGCATAGCCGACCGAGGGCTTCGAGCAGTGCAGCTGCTACCCTGCGGGGCGTGCAAGACGTGGTTCGCCGTCAAAAAGACCCTCCCCAAGCCTGGCAATCAGCGAATCAATCTGTGCCAGTCGAGCGCGAGACACCCATCTTGCCGTCAAAGACTAGCCTTGCTTCCCCAACCCCGGCCTCTTTGGAGGCTGCTCATGCGCCTTCGTCAGAACGAAATGCTCGGCTTGAAGCTGCAGGCATATTAGTGGAGCGCATGCAGCAAACTCCAAAAGATAAGCGTGCAGCCCAGCATGAAAGTCAGCGGCGCGCTCATGAGAATCACGCCTCCCGCACGGAACCTCAGCCACGTCATGCACGAACGTCCGTACTGGTTAACTTTTCTCGCGCCAACCGACGCGAGTCCACACCGTCCATCCCGCAGGAACACCGCCCTTCGGCTCGATTGGCTGGTGGAGGACCGAGCTCCGGTGACTCACAGGTACAGTCGGCGACACAGCCGAAGTGGCTTGCCCACGGAGTTTTGCCAGCGCGCCAACCCCTCCAAGACGAGATTTCCCAGCGGATCGCATTGCTGCACGCCAGCCCACCAAATCCCACCAGCGAGGCAGAAGCCTCCCCTTCCGACCCCAACCAAACTCCATCCGAGAAGGAGGAGTTTACTGGATGGCGTGGTGCCCAGGGGCCACTGCGACGCCGTCGATCTTCAGTCACTGCCCATCAGCAGCAATCATCACTCCTCAAGGACCGAACGCCCCGAGAGATGGCTCGAAATACCCGCGCTGGTGGGACCAAATCAAGCGTTACCCCTCTACCCTGCTCAGATCCGGGCCTGGCGCCTGCTTCATCGCCTTTCGACCAAGCAAAAGCCCAGGCACCCACACGGACAGGTATGCCCAGACCTTGCTTTATTGCATGCCACCGCCTCATCGCAACATGTTACGCCTCTTATTCGTCTTCCCCCTGACCTCGTGTTCCCCAACTCTGTCCCTTACCCGGGAAACGCCGTGCTGCCACGATAGGGTTGAACCTACTGGACCTTCCATACGAAGTCCTTTTGCGCATTTGCTCGTGGTTGGACCGACCCGAGCTACTGGCTCTCCGTGCCACGTGCACACGTTTGGATCAAGTCGTCCAGCCGCTCTTACGAGGGGGGCCACTTAAGCTTATCAGTCGTAAAATCACACCTGCCATCCTGTCCCGCATCTTGGAGCGTCATCCTTCTGAGCTGGTACACACTTGCATGCTTTCTTATTGATGAATGTAAACTGCTTGGTGCGTTGGCAGCTTCGCCAGATAGTTTCTCATGTGGATGGGTTTGCTGTTTTTGTCTGCATACCCCAGGCGTTTGTCCGGTGCAGCCTTCCTGCCTCCACTGAGACGGTGGAGTTTTTCCGCGCAGCCGGATCTCAGCTGCATGGACTGGAGCTGGAGTGTTGCTAGTAAGTCTCTTTGCTGTATCTCGCGTGGTACCAGTGACAGGCTTGAGAGCGCAAGATTGGTCTACCAGCTACACCCATTTTCATTTGCGTGGGTTCTCCTACAGCTGTACATGGTCCGAAGTCTTACCGACAGTCATGATGTCGTGTCAGTCCTTGGAGCAGCTGAATCTGAGCTGGAACCGGGCCATTGACGACGCTAGCCTCGAGTGCTTGAAAAAGAGCCCGGCCAAACTCTATGGCTTGCGCCTTGCGGTATGTGCCTCAAGTTGGCTGGTTTGATCGCTTTTTTCCACAGTAGCCGAAAAAAAAAAGCCACATTGTTGCAAATCTCATCTACCCCGTGATACCTGCTGCAGGGTTGTCGCGGCTTTTCGGTGGCCGGACTTCGCCGTCTAACTACAGAGAGCGCCTGCCTATCTGGTCTGCGATATCTCGATCTCTCTCATTGCTTGCACGTCGATGACGAGTTTGCTCGCGTTGTTGCCAATCTTCCACGCCTTGAGCGTCTTGAACTAAATGGCTGTTTCAAGGTGGGGCAAAAAGGGGCGGCAGTCGATGCCGATTGGATGGGAGGTGCCCGCCTACCTTCTAATTCCTCAGCGCAACACTTACAAGCCATTTTGTGAAATCACAAAGGTTACTCCCATGTTTTTCCAAGAGCTGCAAGCGCAGGGCCACACGTTAAAGCACCTCTCTATGCAAGACTGCAAGCAAGTGACTGATGATTGGCTGCCGCTCTTGCAGTCAATCGTGTCTGAGGTTGGTGACTCGGTGCCATCTCTTATCGATTGAAGCTCTGGTGTGCAATTAAAGTTCTGGTGTGCAAGGCAAAAAAAAAGGGGGGCAGGCAGAGAGACGGGCAAGATCATGTCCGGCATGACTGCGGATCGCAATACGCGCAGAGGGTACTCGTCTCGTCTGTCTTTCTTTCGCTACACTTGTGTTCGAGTTGACGGTTGTTTTTTCGACCCACATTTCTTGTTCTAAAAGTATCGGTGTTGGTTGTGCACCAGCTCAGGTGGACATGTCTCGCGACCTCGGGTGGCTGAAACGTGTGCCCCCTGAGCTGGAACCCATCATGTCATATTGGTGTCGTCGCTTAGTCGGGTGTCAGTGATGTCCAGCCATTGCGCCAGCAAGGCTAAGCCTCATGCTGTGTATTGTTTTTGCTCTGGTTCTCTTGTATTCCAATGGGCTCTTGGCCGCCCTTTGGATATAGACGCTCTGTGTCGAGCGAACGCGTATCGCCAGCCCCAATGATGCTTAAAGTAGCCATGGGCAAATAATCGTGCTACGGCGAAGCACTGTAAAACATATCGTCATCCGAGTCCAGATCATCCTCGCCGCTGGCGCTAGGGTGACTGGCATCCTGTTCGCGATAGGATTTCCGAAGTCTGGTTCGCCGAGAAGAAAGAGCTCGCTTCCACTTAATTGGCAGCTATGAGGGAGGAGCAATAGGGTTGTTGAGTGGTCAAGGCCCAATTCAAGATCTGCTTTCTGAGCCATCGTCGTCAGCGCTTGTGCGATCAATGGCGGTACCTTGTATTTGAATCCGGGCCCACCAGCATCTCCGAGTTCCCGCTTGAGCGCTTGATCAAACATCGTCTGGATGTCGGCAACGTCGGCATTGTTGGGGTCCATGTTCGTTAGTAAATCGTAAGGCGTCACTTGCTCTTCATCCGGCTCCAAAATGAGCTGCGTGCC